CAACTCTGCCTCGAGGACTGTCCGTGGGAGTTATCCAGGTGTTTGCATTGCATCTCATTGCATCTCCCTTCATTTGCATCTCGTTGCATTCTGTTCATCTTGAGTGATCCAACACTTTTTCTATTTACTCCGTAGCGTACAAAAGCCAGCCAATGGCACCTGCAGCTTTCAGCCTTACAGACCAAGGACATATCCCCCAGTCACCGCTGCAAGCTCAAGCTCAGGCTCAGGCTCAGGCACAGAAGCAGGAGGTAATGGATCATCCATAGCCAATTTAATCCTCCAATTGATAAACTCATCCGAGACAATCTCTCCATGGCCAGCTTCCTCGATCCTGAAAACTTCTATCTCGGGGGATCTCTCTTTCCTCCGAATGCGCCACACGCCATCTCCCTTGACAGTCGCTCGCAGAACTATGCCACATCAGCATCAACATTAAGATTCACACATGACCAATCCAATCCGATCTGATCCTGAAAACGGGAAGAATAAAACTTACAATCAAGCAACTCCGACGCAAAATTAATACACATATTCCCATCCCAAGTTCCCTTCCCTCTTCTCTTCACCGTACTAGGTATCGAAGCGGTATCCATCTCCTCGACCCTCTTCAGGAAACCATCCTGTGTACGGAAGCCAACTATGATTTTAGGTACGCCGAGGAGAAACGATTGAATCCAGAATTTCATGAGTTTGCGCTCTAGGTTCATGAGATCTCCATCGTGTCGGATCTCGGCCGAGGTTTTGAGTTCTACCCATTTGATAGGTCCGCCATCTACGGGCTTGGAATCCCATACTAGGTGGCACCAGTCAGTGTTTGTTGGATTTGCTGCGTATCTAGGTATGAGAGTTGGTACGTACATGCATCTACTTCACCACCAAGAACCATCACTGTACGACCAATTCCGGTCTTGACGACAGAGCAGTATTGTGCGTGATTATTCACAATCTCATTCTCCCTGTTCTCGATATACTCTCTCGGTGTCTCATCCCATGGCTTTGGCAGCAAACACAACGTCTCGAATTTGTATCCTTCATCCATTAGCCAGTCACAAACATGATCTCAAATAAATTTGCTAACTCACCCCAAAAACTCATCATATCCTGTGACGGTCTACCTGGTTGTGAAAACTGCCTCGATTGCCTTGCTTGCGATTGTCGCTTGTACTCATGATTCTCTTCAATAAAGCTACCTAGTTTAGTAGAGAATTGCAGACAGACGGAAATTCAGAAGCATACATTGTCCCCTTCACAAACAATTGTTAGCTGAAGTCCGCAATGTAGGTCAAGGAGTGCCCACTTGGAAGAGCGTGGCGTTCATCTCGAAGCTTTAGAAAGGTCAGTCTTGAATACTCCGTCGGAACGAGTTGCAGATTACCCATCTCTGTCACTGAAAATAGCTCCCATGAACTATACACAATCAGCTTTTAAACTCTTTCCAAGCAATCGCTAGATAGAAATACCTTGGTCATCATACCCCTCCACGTAATAAGATCCGTCTCAACACGTTTACCTGTCTCTTTCTCCAGAGCGATAATAGTCTTCAGCAGACTATCAAGATGATCGTCCGCCGCATCGTCAAGCTTCTCAAAGGTGTCGAACCCTCTTGATAGATCTGCTCCAATGGTTGGAGGGTAGTAGTACCTGATAGATGAATCATCTAGACGGAACTGATGCTTGTCGTCGTATGAGAAACAAGCTATTTCCTAGAGAGTTGTCAGTAAAGTCCATACATATTTCAAGAGATCAGGGGAGGCAAGAAGGGCAGCCTCAGACTTCGAGCCAATACGCGGCTCACGGCGCAAAGAGGAAATAGAAAAGATACAATCCTCAAACCCAACACACGCGAATGGGATGCGTAAGATGATAAGCAATGACATCCTCTTCAGGAGGAACAATATAACTCCCCCTCGATCCTCACGCACAATACGGAATGTAAACAGTTAACATACCTTCGGACGTTTTATGGCAGCACTCTGCCCCACGAACCTGCCAATAGGCTGGATATCGAATTTATTACTCATGATAGACAATCTTGCAGTAGATCATGATGAGCGCGTCGATGTTGCAGCCCTTTTAAGAATCGTCGTCATGCGGAGGAGGACGAGGAATGTTTGATGGCAGCTTGAGCCTAGCTTGAGCTTGCTGGAGGAAGGGGTGGGCTTGGCTTTGCTTCAGCTTTCATGCACCCCACAATCCCCTAACGAAACTGGCCTGGGCAGTGAGTTTTTCGATGCCAAATTTAACAACTTTCAAAGATTTTTTAAGTCCGAGCTGTAATGCATTCAAGTAGATAATTAAAACAATTCAAACTCAAATGATTTAAAGATACTAAAAGCATAAAGAAGTTGTTCTGTACCTTAATTACATGAAAATTCTTGAAGTCAGTATTCCCTGGCGGCTATTGAAACCCCCACCACCCAGAGCCTCGCCCCAAGCCTCGCGCAACAACCAAACATCACCAACACCAAAAACAAGCATCTCAACCCAACCTACAAACCCACCCACCCTCAAAACATTTCTTACCCATTCCTCCCTCCAATCCATCCCTACAATACAACCCAATAAACGCCCCAAAAATGCCAGAACGCCGACAAGCAACCTCCAGCAGCTCCACGCACCGCAGTACCGGCGTCCGCCGCAACCTCTTCCAACAACACCTCACCCGCCGCCCAACAACCAGCTCGACATCCACCTCGGCCGAGACCCTCCGCCTAGACGTCGACCACGAATCCGACACCTCGGACATCGTAATCAGGGACAAGAACGGCGAGTTCGAGATCGAGGATCTGCCCATCCAGCCGTACGACGAGCAAGATGAGGGGGGAAATGGAGAGTCACAGGAAGATGAGAGTAAGCCGATCCATCCATCCATCCATCTGGATCTAGATATATACATGCCCGTGTGGTTGTGGAAGATGAAGATGAATGTGCTAATACTTTGTTCTTGTGTGTGATATAGAAGAACGGCAGAGATTAGCTGATGCTGTGAGGCATCATCAGAGGGATAGGAATCGTGCTCCTAGTGAACCCGCTGGTTAGCAAATACCTCGCTATGGAGGATACAAGGCTGATTTTACTAGAATTACTCGAAGCTGTAAGGGCTAGTCTCAGAGCGAAAGTCAATGCTTTAGCGGAGGACAATTGGATGTACGAGGCAGAAGAGGATGCTGCCATTCGGTGATATACTACTACAAACGGTCTCTTTGGTTTCGGCACTGCATATGTAGCATGGCATGGAAAAAGGCGTTAGATACCCAAGCACTCGTTGCTTCAGGCTGGCACTGGATACTTGCTTCGAGCTCTTGCTCAGCAATGAGTTGTTCTGTTTACACAGATACATGAATTTGAGAAATCCCTCCATTGATTCAGTTCAATCTAGACCTTCAGCAGCAGGTGCAGAAGTTCCCCCAACACGCTTTGGCTGCGGCTTAGCAGGAGCAGCAGCGCCTCCACCCCCAAACATACTACCCATCATATCCAGTAAAGGATTCCCCTGTCTAGGTCTCGAGATGCCAAAGTACATCTCAGCGACCGAAGTCAGCGCCTCATCCCAAATACCCACCTCCTTGATATAAACCGCATACTTCGACCTCAGCTGCGTGAACAGGCCCGCACTCCCCTTCTGCACAGCCAGCAGCAGTAGGCCCAGGAAGTTCAGCAGCGGCAGGCTGGGATATATCCGCATGTCCGAAGAGCTGCTACTGACGTCCTGCACCGCGAGACCCTTATTCGCCTCCGTCAACCTGCTTGTGAACAATCGTAGGGATTTCGTGGCATCGCGCACATTGCCTATGAGGAGGTAGGGGAATACCACGCGCGCTGCGTATAAAGCCGCCGTGTGCGAATCGTCCTGCGTGTACCACTCGTACTCCATCTTCGCGAAGACTTCTGGTGAGTCCTTGGTTCCGAGTGTGAGGTGTCGTTCGGCTTCGTAGGCTTCGTGTTCTTCTGCGTACAGAGAGCCCGCGACGTGGTGTAGTTCAGGTTCGCCGGCTGGGTACTCGCCACACCTCGCAGACCATCTAATCGATCCCATCCCATCAGCTTAACTCTCTCTCATACAGTATAAATAAATATCAAACCACTCACCCAATCATCTCCCCAATAAACTTCTTCCTCGTCGGCTCCTCACAATCAAACAACCGCAACAGCGTCAACAGCTTCCCCTTACTCCCCGAGTTCGGCTTCAGCTCCGCCTGCTTATACACATCGATGAGGAACAGCCCCAAATCTCCACCGCTGCCTCCCTGTCCGGCTTTCAGGAGTGACTGCGATACGTTGAAGAGGATGTCGATTGCGGCGTCCCAGTTCTCCGACTTCACGTATCGTGCTGCCACGACCCGTGTTTGCTGCTGCGCTTCATAGTATTGGCCTTCGGTGATTCTGGGGGGGTTGTTAGCTCTGCTTGCTTGTTTGCACGCTGGGGGCGGGGTTTTGTCATGGAGAGTGGCACGTACTTTCCCTGAAGACGTACGATGATCTTCTCGATTTTGGCACTCATCTTGAGTTGCTCTGCTTTGCCTTGCGTTGTCCCCTGGTGTAAGTGGTGCAGCCGTCGGAGTGGTGGGAAGCTTGCTTAGCTGTCTTGTCCTGAATTCAATTGAACGAGGAAGCGACCATTCGGACTGAAATCAACGCTTCCCACTGCGCGAGATTTTGACGAGGCTGCGCGCGCTGGCCCCGCTAGCCCCAGGAAGGTCCGTCCGTCACAAAGGATGTCCAGACAAAGACAGCATCAGCAAAAACTATGAACATTATATAATAGTATGAGTTTTCACTTTCCTTAACAAGACTTGTTCTCACAACAGTTCACAACATTATAGTTGATAGTTTATTGCTACAGGTTTTCAAGTAGGTTCATGTGTCTTGGGACAGTCCCTCCTCCACCCCCACTCCGCGACGAAGCCCGAAATCGCACCCATCTTATAATAATACTGTCGTTTACCAAGATAAGAAAATTTTCTCAAGAACTATCCAATTTCATTGGATAACTCGAAGCACTCTTGGTTTAGTGGTAAAATCAACGCTTCCCATTACTGGCTGAAATTACTTATGCTCGTTTGGAGGTGTGCGTTGGCCCCGGGTTCGATTCCCGGAGGGTGCATTTGATATTTTGAATGTTCTTACTTTTTCATTTTTTGGAAGCCCAGAAGTTGAGAAACCTGTGATCCCTTTTTTTGGGGGGTTCTTGTGCTGTGTTCTTCTCGGTTATTTCGCAGTAAACAAGACGCTTAGCCTACTTGAGCAAGGCTAGGTGGGCTGCTGATATGTGGCACTTGTAGGCTAAACTTTTGATAGTTCTTGTTTATGCAACTTGTGCAGAGTGGAGAACTCGACATTGATGATACCTTTGTTATCATCGCAATATCATCTAGTGTTGCTTTTGTAAATGATCATAAAGCCCAAAGAATTTGGTAAAAGTGAATCGTGAATGGGATGAGAACTGTTGTTGGATGTTTTGCCTCCCTTTTTAAGCGAGTGCTGGACGAAGATGGACTTCGTATGTCTGCCTTCCTAAAACATTATCTCTGGTTTTGTGTCCCAGTAAGTTTAGGGAGAATGGGCTGAAGAACTATCCCCGACATATATTCTTCAATGACTCCTTCAAGGGTAGGGTTGAAGTATAGCAATAGAACTCTGTGTTGGAAATCCTTGAAGTCCACCTAAGCTGTAGCTGCAAGGATGAGGAATCACCTTCAGCTCTCGTGTCCTGTGAGTTCGATGCGAGTATGGCAATAGAAAATGGACATTGATTGCAACAAATAAATTTGACAGAGAGCAAGCTCGCTCTGCCAATCATCAAGTGTTCTGCCAAGGCCTTTCTCCCCTATCCGACTCGTTGAATGAGTCGAATTTTCCTCGCGTAAAGTCTGTACCAAGAACTACAATCCACTTGAGTAGCTACTCCAGAGGACCATGGGAACGATGTATATCGGATGTGAGATTTGTTTTGCCCTTCGTCTGTTCATATGTTTGTATTTATGACCGAAGCTAAAATCTGGTCCTTGACTTGTTGAGCAAAGAAACGGATAGCTGACCGAGTGAATAAAGAGACTGCATTATACAATTCACGTCATCAGGAATTCATAAATGCATCCAATTTCAATGAATTCTAAACTTTCTGGGAAACTAACACGAAATTGGCCGATTCAGTCCCGAAAGCATAGCGTGCCACACCTTTTTCTTCCACTTCGCGCTGTCTTTCTTCAATCATATATAAATCAACTTCTCCAAACAATCTCAAAAGGTTAACAATCACCGAGAGCGTTGGCATTGATGTAGAGAAGTTTTGAATTTACGTTCAGAAATCTAAAATTTTGAAATCAAGTTTTCTTTTATGTATAAGCAAAGAGTCTTAGCTATTACTTCCCCCGTTCGGATACAGTCTTTGAGATGATATCGCCGGAGATCCACAACTATCAAGTCTCCCTCGGCTTTGCTCGGCACCCGTAAACCAGAGTCGGCGATAGCAGCTAGATTGACAGCAAGATATAGGTTTATCGAAGGTAAGTTTTGAAGAAGGTACAATCCTGCAATAGGCTTACGACTTGAGAATTTAATGAAAAGCCTCAAATGGTATGGAAAGTAAAAGCATGGAGGATGAAGTAGGCCTCTTTTTTTTTAAAAAAAAAAAAAAAGAAGAAGAAGGAAAAAAAGATTCCAACTGAAATGTATCAGAGAAATCCATGGGGGAGTTCGGAGCTTGCTGCCTGTCCTCTCTTCTAGGATTGGCTAGCTTTTTAAATGTAAGATTACAATTTCGCAAGCCAACATGGCAACTTCTCTCCCATTGTTCTCCTGAGATATACGTGCTTACAGACTAAAATACATGAAAAGCCTAGGCAAAGTAGCAATCTTCGCGGAAGAGTGGCTCTATTTTTGAAAGTATGCCAGTAGGTTTGTAAAAGGTTGGTGTTCAGATTCACTACGAGACCGGGGGCTGCTTTTGTCACTTACAGCTCTCAAGACTCCATCTCTCCAAGGAATCTATATAAAAAACGACGTTCATTAGCTTTGAAGAATCAGACTCCGAATGCAAGACAGCAGGCCCAATTCTATGTTTTCGCTTGTACCCATTCTTGGGCATAGGTACTGCTTCAAACTCAATTCCAGTAACGCGAGTCAACAAAAAAAGCTCAAGATTCGTTATAATCTCGTTCTTCCATCTTTACCCGTGGTAGCTTCCGAAGGCTGTTAACCAAAAACAGGCAGTTTCCACCAAAATGGCAACCAGAGAAAAGACGACAACAAATTGAACAGGCTGCAGATAGTTTCACGAAAGCCACTCGTCGCTGCTGACATCAACCAACGAAAGCAAAGTCACCCAGACTTCTTACCCAAGACTAGCAAATGCTCAAACAACCAAGCCTTCTTGATTACGTTAAGGCCGTCAGCCAATGTGCTCTTAGGTTGGCTTCCATTTTTGCTCTTTTGCGCTTTCTGTTCCATTTCAGCGCCTACTTAGCTGCAGTTAATATATGAGGGAAGAGCGTGCGTGTATCTCAAAAGGATCCGTGATTTTCAATCTCGCAAGACTTAACAGACACAAGGCAACCTCATGTACACAAAATTCACTAATACTACTGCTAACACCTGAGTGATCAGTTGATCCTTCCAATTTGTTAACGACCATGTAAAAGTCACCCAGTCAAATAACCAATACTTAGATTTCAAGAAACCTACGGGATATATAATCTCACATAAGCACCAGGAAGTTCAGAGAACAGACACACAGAGCGGTAGGGCTAAACCTTCACATTTTCCTCTCAAACTGACGCCTTCACAGAGATATCCCGCAAGAATTTTCCCTGAAATAGTGGCAATGTGGCCAGCGATGGGAGCTCGAGTGCAACCTTCTCGCAATCTCTCACGACAGATGGATTACGTATTGTGTCCCATGAACCTCTTCAGAGGGTTTTCCAAGAGACAAAAAGAAAAGGTTCGGCAGTTGGTTCTGGAATGACAACAAGGAATCTAGATTAGATGTTATAGCTATACTGTATTGATGAGGGGGGTATAGAGAATTGAAGAGAATTTCCCTTGTAGGCTGGGCAGATGTGAGATCGTGCCCAAAGACATGGTTGTGGTGGGCTCTGCTCAAGGTGAAAGACGATGAAGAGCCTTGAACAGAATGCTAGGGACATTTCGATAGTCCACATGAAAAAAGATAGTAAGAAGAGGGACGGAGAGATGATTTGTTATACATTTTACAGACTCTATCTATTATAGACTCCCCATGCCTTTTCTACAAATGTTACAATGATACAATGATACATCTTTTACCAGTCCCATAGTATACACATATCCTATCTCTAATTGTTGTCCTTCCCTCACTTCCTCTCACCATCCTCCTTCACCTTCTCATGCGTCCATAATCCATGATCCTTGTCCGCCATCTTCTTCCCGTCATTGACATCCAACACCTTAGTCGGCCTGGTCTTGTCCATCTCATTCTGTTGCATCCTCCACTCCCTACCCTTCTTCGTCATATCCTTGATCCGCTGCAAGAACATGTCGTTGAAGGAATCCTTGGACAGATCAACTTGTCTGTTCATCGCCTTATCGCGACGCTTCTTGGCCATATCGTAGAGCCTGGCGACGCGTCTGGGGTCTTGGATCTCGGCAAGAGAGTACTCGACCTTCCATTTGTCTTCTTCCTTGAGGTTTTTGGGACGTGCAACGTATCGGCCGTTGACTTTGTTGCGGATAGTGAGAGTCATCGCCATCATATCTCTAGGCTGCGATGGTTCGAGTGGCCTGTCATCGACTCGCGTGATTGTGATAGTATCATCGGAGCCATTTTCATCTGCATGACTGGACTCAGAGGATTCCTGGGACTGCTGGGGCTCGGAGGCCTCATCCGCATCCTCTGAAATAGCTTCAACGCTTTCGTCAGATGCAGCTATCTCATCCTCATCTAGTTCAATCAAAGATTCCTCAGTACCAGTCGCTTCTGCATCTTCACTTTCTTCAGTGGTAGATTCCTCCAAGTCAGTTTCCTCGACATCTTCCTCAGCGTCCTCATCAACAACATCATCTCCGGCTTCCACCATTCGAGTTGCAGAGATTATATCGGCCAGTTCCCGCTCGTCTACTGGTAAGTCTTCCGAGTCTGATGCATCATCCTTCTCCAGGTCGTCGTCGTCTTCCTTTCCATTGGCCAGGTCAGAGTCCAAGTCAGATGAGTCGTCATTCCCTGCAAGAGCCTCCCGACCAGCCTCATCCTCTCCAACACTTTCTTCCACTTTGGCTCTGATCTTTGCCCACTCTTTCTCCTGATCCTCCTCACTGTACTCCTTGTTGACGACGCCCAAAACTGCCTTCTCAAATTTCTCGATTTTGGCCTTGTTTGTCTTCTGGATATCGTCAATGGCTTCTTCAGTGAAAGGTTCGGCGAATACGTAAGTGAAGGGAGTTTCCGCAGGTCTGGTTTCAATGAGCAATCGCATCGATTGCTTTGGGTACTTGGCCGTGGCACGATCCAGAACCCGATTGAGCAAATCTAAACTCAACTTGAACTCCTGGTCGCCAAGTGTGGTGTCGGTAGTTCCGTGCAGCGCAAAGTCCATCTCGGGGAGACTGATGTATTGGAAGCCAAATATCCTCTCGGTGTTATGATAGGCAACGAAAATACCATCCATACGGCCCATTCTGACTTGTAAAGAGTATTTCAAGAAGGCAGAACGGATCATGTCGTAATACTCCCTTTCGAAAGACTCCCATTCGCCATGTTGGCCTCGAATCTCATAGCCTTTGCCTTCCTCGTAACTATCAGTATCCATCCGAATTGAAACTACAGCCCTGGTCTTGAGATCAAACATGCCAGTTCCCGGCAAGCGCGAATCATGAGCGTCTAGCTGAGATCTCAGAAGAAAATCACCTATCCCCGTGTAGTGAAATTCTTCGGATGCATTGCGCTCTTCTTCCGTGATTTGGTCCGAATTCGATCTTCTGTACTTCTCGAAGTCTTCGGTAGGAAGGGTGAGGAGTTTCTCCATGGACTTCCCAAGGCTCATTAAGATGTTGGCCGAATCGTATTGCTTATCTGCATCGATAGCGTAGGCTCCATCCCTCCAGCGCAAGAAAATGGCGACTGGGCCACGC